GAGGCTGAGTGCATTTTCATTTTTGGGTGAACTATTCCTTTAACATGAAACTTTTTTGAGTTCATATTTTGGTTCATCTGCTGCTTGTAAATAGTAAGCATTACCAAAAGGTTGATCTTCTCTAATACAGCCTCACGTGTGTGTGTGTGTGTGTGTGTGTGTGTGTGTGTGTACAGTTTGTACAGTAGAAAAACCATTACGCCTATGGAGAGTCCCCACAAGAATAGCTGACCAGACATGTGCGTGTGGGTGTGTGTGTGTGTGTGAGATGAGATCTTCAGGCTTTCACCAGCTCAGACTGAATTTATCCAGGGAGGAGTCGACAGGCTTTTTCTGTCTGTGGTCAAACACACACACTTGAGTTTTCTGTGTTTCCTCCTGCTGTTTTCTGTGGGTGTGTGTCCTGTATCTGTCTGTTCATCTCATCTGTCAGTGTGTCTATAAAAACCTGCGTTCAGACGCCGAGATCCAGCTGCTGCTGCTAGAAATGGGAAGCGTTTGTCTTTGTGCTGATGTGTGAGACAGTCTGGACTCGTGATTCACTAGTTAAATTTACTCACAAATACACCCTGACTCAACGCAGCTTTACAGTTAAGGTTTATAATATCTCAATATCTTCATGCCTTATAGTCGCATCCAGCAGATTAGACCTGTGTAATAATGTAGTTTACATTTGACAACATTATAAACCACTCTTGACGCGGTTTCATGTTCTGAGATCTCAGTGGGGTTTTTGAGTCATTTAGATTAAGAACACGTAATAATAACCAAAGCACTAATAACAATAATACTTAACAAAATAACACTAAAGCTACATCTAAAACCCCTTATTTGTGGTAAAATCACTGTAATGCACCGTTTTATGAAACGGCAGTAACAGTGATATGGTGTTATTTTAGTATAATTTATATACTATCATAGTTGTTGTTAATATTTTTAATCTGATTTTTTAATATTTTCTGGTTATTTTTTGTTTCTGTTAATTTTCATTTATACTCTTTTAAAAATGTTGTACGTTTCTGACATTTTTATATGTGTATATCGTTTTTAGTATGTTTTAGTTTTTCGTTTCACTTATTTTAGCACTTAACTAAAAATTGATTAAAGTTAAGTGAGTTTGTGCTTAAAACAAGAAAATTAAATTAAAATGAGAAATGTTGCTTTGGCAGCTAGCCAAGTTAAATTAAATTCATGTTTTTATATTTTATATTATTTCAGTCAATGTTTATGTTATTATTAGTTATTATTTTAATAATTAGTAACGAACATGTTTTTTTAATGATTTTAGTTTGACTTTTAGTTAATGGTAATAACCGTGCAGTGATATTAAATAAATAATTACAATTATTAAAAGGGTCATGACTTTTTTATTATTATTTTAATGTTCCTTGAGGTTTACTTATAATGTTAATAAAGTCTTTTGCACAAAAAAACTAAACAAATAAATATGTGGAAAAATGATTTTGTTTGACCCTCTGTCTAAAACCAGCTGTTTTAAGGGGCGTGTCCTTTAAGGCTCGTCAGTAATCAGCCGCTGTTGTGATTGGCTAACGTCACTGCATAGGAAACAGTATCAGCGCCCCCTGCTAATGCATGTTTTGAGTGTTTTGACAACATGATAAAAATAAACAAGTAATTTCATTCAGCGTGATCAAGTGTTAGCCGCTAAGCGACTGAACGCCAGAGGGCGGGGCCTATGCTGAGAAGTTGACTATTCAACTTTAACTTGAATAGAATTTTAAGAATTTAACTTATGCACAAAATTCCAAACGAGCCGTTTTTTGAGGGTTGTTACATAAATTCTTTTTTTTATTGATGATGAGGACAATTTCAGTTATGAAACTGGCAGGATGTATTAAGCATACAAACACCTCTTCTGTATCAAAAGATCAAGGGAAATTTGGTTTCTCATGTCATGGCCCCTTTAATAATAATAACTACAATGTTGTTGCAGCTTGTTTCTTAAATTTAGACTAGTAGTTCATTCAACTCATGTTTAACTCTACTGACAAACTCCTGATATTTGAACGTTTATTTTTAAATATTCTAAGAACGTTAAAATGTCCAGTTTTCTTGTTGTGATTATAACGTTGTTTAAAGGTTGCAAAAATGTTTCTTAGACGTTTATCAAGTACAAATAACATCAGAAGGACATTTCAAGAATGTTGTTCTTTCTCTCAACATTATGAGAATGTTTATCAAAATATGAATAAAGTAATATAAGAATGTTTTGTTCTAACATTTATATAACTTAAAAAACTCGCTGAGGAAGGTTCATTAAAGTTCAAACAGTAGTTTGTGTGAACAACCAGTTTATGTTTCAAAGACTAGTATGAAGTTGAGAAAACTCCAGAATGCAGCTGTATTTTTAACTCCGGTCTGCGGCTCCGTGTATATATGAGTGTTTATGGAGGGTTCTCTCTTTTATTATAGTGACCTTTCAAAACACACACACACACACGCACACACACACACACACACACGTGGTTGTCATAGCGACGTGGCTCTTGGCACACAATGATGATGATTTAGAGATGCCGCACAGCTGGCACATTGTGTGTGTGTGTGTGTGTGTGTGTGTGAATGTGAGTGAGTCACATATGACACAGGAGAGTCCAGAAACACACACACATGCAGTGTTTTATGATGTGGAGGCCAAACGCACTCACAATCTGCAGGCCTCATTACACAGACATTCACACTCTCTGTGTCTGTTTCTCACTTTCCCTATACATTTCACTCTCTCTGTTCTACTTCCTGTTCCAAACACACACACACACACACACACACACACACACACACACACTCATGGATTTGTTAGTCAAAACAACATGAGTGTGTGTTTGGTGTATGTATGTGTGTTTGTTGTGTGTGTGTGTGTCCACCTTAACCATACTTTAGGGACACATTTGTCCCCAGCATTGTAATTTTTGAATTATTCATATGTTTTTTAATATTTTGAATTATTACAGTTTTCTTCAACTGCTTACACACAAAATCTTTACTTGTCACAATTTCTGAAAGCTGACACTCAAACAGCAGAAGCACACATTAAATCTGCAAAACCATACACTGATTCTCAGACTTTGACTCAGTTTTCAATTTCATAAAACACTTTTTGTAAAACACAACACACAGTTCTCTCTGTAACACACACATATCTAACAGGAATTAATATTATGGCAAAGGTGTTTGCAAATGTTTGCTTTTGAGATGTGTTTGTGATATTTTGAATGCAGCGCTTCATTTTGCAAGAGATGTGAGGCATTTTGTATTTTGTCTGCAATTCTTGGATTTGTGTGTAAAGTTTAGAAAAAAACGGGCAAAGTTTTGAAAATGTGTGTAAGCAGCTGAAAACAACTGTAATAATGCTATTTTTTATATTTTCAGATATTATTTTAATTTTAGTTACATTTTTAAAAATTACTATTTAGGTTTTGTCTTAAGTTTTAGTTGTAGCTCAGTTTTATTTTTTAATATATATTTATTTCATATTTTTTTCATATTTGTTCTTTTTAAATATTACTTTTTTTCAGTAAGTTTTAGTTTTTATATAGTGTATTTCCAGTTAGAAATGTTAGTACTTCAACTTAAACTTTAAAAACAAAAAAAAAGAAAAGATTTACATTTAACAATTTATTTAATTTTTTTTGTAGTTAACGATATCATATCATGATATGTTTCTAATTCAAATGCAGAGTTTTCTGTTATGGTTAGTGTGTAGGATTCAATATTAATATGTATGTGTGTCTGTGTGTGTGTGTGTGTGAGTGTGTGTGTGTGTGTGTGTGTGTGTGTGTGTGTGTGTGTGTGTCTGTGTGTGAGAGAGAGACTCTCAAGAAGTGAGCTCCTCAGAGTTAGAAATGAATCATAAATGACGTCAGTAATGTTTTATTGTGTCTGTGGTCAGTATAATGAGCTTCATATTGAAATAATAGATGTCTGTGACATGCTTATTTACATAGATGAGTAAACGAGTGTGTGTGTGTGTGTGTGTGTGTGTGTGTGTGTGTGTGTGTGTGTGTATGTGTGTGTGTGTGTGT